TGTCTGTTTATTACTTTGCTGTAATCAGTTACGTGGCAGGTGGAGACGTTCCTTTCATTTTCGCTGCTGAAACATCATTATTTTTATATATAAATTACATCCTTTGAAAGCATCCATTACTCACTTTTTGTTTGCTGTTATTTGTAACTGAATAAACTATGGTTGGGTTGCTAGCAGAAAAGAAATGAATTTCCTGAGTGTGATATGTGGCTCTACAGCTTAGGATGCTACACCTGTATCCAGAAGGTTGTTGGTTCACATCCTGGGATTGGCAGTGTGATTTTTACCATTGGGCCTTTGAGCAGCACTGTAACCCCTAATTGCTCCTGGGACTGACTGACCCTGTTTTCTCAAAAGTTTATGTTGCTTTGGATGAAAGTGTTTGCTAAATAAATAAAAAATATGAAATATTAATCGATAAGAGACAGCTGCTGCTCTCTGTTTTCGTAATGCAGTATAGACTTTAGCTTATGGACCTTTCTTTACAACTATGTCAACTACATTTGCAGAAGGAAACGTACAGATTCGGTCAAAAGTTTGGACACACCCACCCCTAGAAAGATGTATTTGTACTATTCTCTGTATTTTAGAATAATTATAAAATATCATCATATATTGAATTATGCACTGACAAAAAAATTGTATTTAAAAAATAATAATAATTTGGTGACGCGGCTGTGTGGGTGGGGACGCAGGATGTTGTTGGTTCAAATCCCGTGGTTGGCAGAGTGATCCCACCATTGGGCCCTTGAACGAGGCCTTTAGCCCCAATTGCTCCAGGGACTGACTGACCCTACAGTCCCCTCTATGCCAGTTCCATGAGGCGGCCTCCTGGGATGCTATTCCAGCTGTCCTGAAGGAGCTCCCACATATGCTGAGCCCTCATTGGCTGCTTTTCCTTCACTCTCTGGTCAAACTCTTCCCAAACTATCTCTGCTGTGTTTAGGTTAGGTGGCCAGGTCATGTGATGCCTGTCAATCACTCTCCTTTGTGGGGTCTAGACATGTTCAAACCTTTGACTGGTACTGTATGTGTTTATAATTTACATTTTATGGGAAAAAAATTGATTGGCAAATGGATTAATATGTGAAAAGAGAGCAGCTGATGAAAACAGACTTTTTTAACCTTGTTGCCCCTGGGGTGTTTACACCAGTGTCAGAGCCTCCTTCACTGGTAAGTGGAGGGGCAGAGCCTGTAGGACATGTAGCCTAACCCAGACCCGGTCCCTGACAGTGGAGCAGTGGCATACTCAGGGGTGGGGTCACTGGAACACTGGCCCCAGCTGAAAGCTGATTGGCCCAAGTGAGGCCCCTTCCCTGTCACTGAACAATTCAAAACACATCATTAGCTAATGATGAGGTTGGTCCCTCTGCATGAATTATGGTTTTAAAAAAATACTGGAATTGCCCCTAATGGCCAAAAAGACTATATCCATGTGTAGAGTGAGAAGTGTCCTAATTTTGGACAGGAGCTGAAGCCTTAGGTTGACTCAGGGGTTACAGATGCCATTTGAGATGCAATTTCACCATGGTGTCATTCGCTTATTTCCAGATTGTTCCAATTTTGGATTGTGTGTCAGGTGAGGTGGCGGAGGTGGCGGAGGTCAGTCTTGTCTGCTATCCGTGTTGGTTTTCAAGTGTTTGTTTATTTGCTGGTTTTAGACCACAGTCATTGCTGAAAAACTAACACATCGAGGCAGAAAACGCCATATTAAAACTGATCCCTTCCCCATATGGGAAAATGTTCTTTCTCTCATCTTAGCAGATATCTGGCTTATTGCGAGAGTCCCTCTACTGGCTGTATTGTGCAAAAAAAAAAAAAAAAGAAATCATAAACTAAAGTATGCAGTACAAATGGTAATTTATCGTAAATCACTTTTGGGAACAGTGCTGGAAGAAATTATATTAAATTTACAGTATATGATTATTAGTTCGATGTGACATTTAGTGTTTCTCTACAGGTCTGATTGCACAAATTCTAATAATCCCAAAGATCCCAAATGGTGAGGCTTTCATTTAGCCGCCTCCCCAGCTCCATGTAATGAGATTAGACATGGGGGCAGCCTGCGAATGAGAGCGGATCCAGCCTGTTCTGTGCCCAATGAATTAATCTTATTTATCCTAAGAAATACCTCTGTTCTAGAACAAAGGAAATGATTAGATTAGATTTGATTTGATTCAACTTTATTGTCATTGTGCTGAGTACAGATACAGGGCAGTTAGCATCTAACCTGGTGCAAATAAAATATACATAAATACAATAAATGCATTGAATTGTTAATAAATTATAAATATAAATGTATATAAATGGAAATGATGGCTCTATGCAAAATTATGCATGAGATAAGCTGCAGACAGGAAGTACAGAGGCAGTGATTGTGCAAAAAAATGGGATAATTGCTTGTTTTTTAGGTTTAATCCAACTGCATGAATCACCTCTATAATCCTTTTCTCACAACACGAATACTGTTTGTTTTGGTTTTTTTCTGGTTTGCAGAGGCATTTTAAGATTAAGAGAGACTTTATTGATCCCAGTGGGAAATTCTGATGCATACAGCAACTGAACATACATACGGTGCCTAAAACACAAGGTGCAAAAGACTGCAGGCATGATACAAAGCAGACGTGCTGCATCTCGCAGTGAAACAGGTTAAATAGAAGGGAGGACAACTATGGACCATAAAGCTTTATTGACAGAGACGGCGACATCTGAATGTTGTCTGTTTTTTGGTGGCTTAAAAGGGCCCGTTATTTTTTAATGTTATTTCGCTCGGTTTATGATCAGATGGTTTCGCAGACATTAACTGTGTTGAGTTTCCTGGCAAGGTGTAATTTTGAATAATATAATGTAATTAAATACGGTTGAATTAAATACTGTAAGTTACTCAAGCAAATAGTCCACTGTAGGAAGTGAAGAGGGCTTTGGAGAGAAAGATGCTGAGGATCTGATGGGATCGTGCAGAGAGGCATACTGGCGGCTGTAATGGCCCAGAGGCTGGATAACTAAATCAGCCTTTTCCATCAGCACGAAAACCAGTGAGATCCACACCTAAATGCAACAGAGCCTTGCGCTTGGACTGTAATCGATTCTGCCTCAAATGGAAACCCAACTGTACCTCGGAATAAAACGCCGCTTGCCGGGCCTCAATGAGCCCTTTCAGTGCATGAGGGCCATCCATCCGTGGGACACTACAGAAGAGCAGCCGCTTGTTCTGTAAAGATAGCAATATGCAGATAGTTAAGTGGGGAAACAGGTGTATTTTATGGCAGACACCCTTGAGTAGCTGAGCATCTAATAGTGGCATTTTGGGGGCAGCGTGTGGCTCAGTGGGCTAAGCCCGTGTGCCTGTAATCAGAAGGTCACCGGCTCAAACCCAGCCTCAGCACGTCTGCAGGTCCTTAAGCAAGGCCCTTAACCCCCCAGCTCCCTGGGCACCGCTACGGGTGGCTGCCCTTCTCAGACAACTTACTCTACAAAAAATAGAGCATGTTGAGGGAGGTGTAAAGACAATTTCCCCATGGGGATCAATTAAGTATCTATTATTATTATTATTATTAGTTCAGAGTTGTTGTGAGTTCCACAATAATTGCAGTAATCTAGTGTAACATTTTAACCATGTTCTTCACAAGTGATACGTTTTTACAGTGTTCTACCTGAAGTCACAGGTGTAAATTAAGCCTGTCATCATTCTAAAAAGGTAGCACTGTCTTGGTCCTACTTTGGCACTAATAATTGTTCAGTGACTTTATGGAATACTTGCTCCTAAACCCTCTGTGGAAGATGAAGAGGGAAACGCCAGCCTCGCCCCGATTCTGCTTTCCAATTCATCACAACGATTATCTGTCACATTGAGGTCAGGCCTTTGTACTGTACGCTGGGAAGGTCCCGTTTCATTCTCTTCGCTTTCTAATTTACCCACAAATTCTGCCAAGAAGGCGCAGAGCAAAATTTTACCTAATAAATATGACCTGACACACCACGTGTTCCGATGAGGTATTGCAAACCACTGCTTGCCGTTAATAATAAATTTGAGCTGCAGCACTATTAAACGATAAAGGATAAACATGTTCTGTGTACATCTGTGCCAGTATTTGACTCTTGTTATCAGCTCAGCTTTTTTTTCTGTGATGTGTTTTAATACGTCTTTCACTCTACTCACCCTATCAAGCAAGTTTAAGGACAGAAAAGTCCTCCCATTTCCATTTGGTTGGACAACATTCAGTAACACTTTACTTAAGACCATGTCATTTATAAACAAGACATAACAAATAATAATGCAGACATAAAGCATCATAAACATGCCTATAAATATTTATCAAAAGGCATAACACATTATAACCATGTGATTTATGCATTATGAAGCTCTCATCTATAATACACTATAAATACCTTCATAATGTATTATAATGGTTGGTATAAGCATTATGGATGCTTTGTACTGCATTATAAAGGTATCTAGTAGATTATAAATGAGAGCTTCATAAGGCAGTCATAATGCATAATAAACATGACTATAATACATTAAGCCTTTTTACAAATATTTATGATCATGTTTATAATGCTTTATAAATACATTATAATACATTATGAGTTATTATCAAATTACTGAATACATGGTCTTAAGTTAAGTGTTAACCAGCTCTCAGTCATATTCCACTTGCTCCTCTACTGTTCATCTGTAATAAAATTGTTGGATCTGGATGCCACGTTTGATGACATTCTACTGAACAGATACATATCGCAATCCATCTTATATCGTTGCCTGCAGATTACAACAGGTCAGAGGTCAAATTAGATCTCTTTGTAAAACCACCTGTTTAAAACATGGTTGTGTGGTATTCATTAATATCCGATTGGCTGATTGACTACAAGATTATGATTAGATTGATCCATCGATTGGTGATTGACTCACTGCTTGGTCGACTGATTCATTGATTGGCCGATTGATTTCTTGTTTGAGCACTGTGTCCCAAGGCTCATGGCTCTCTGTGTCTCTGCAGGTTCGATTACCAGGAGCTTCTCCACAACTCCAGCTTCTGCCTGGTCCCCCGAGGACGCAGACTGGGCTCCTTCCGTTTCCTAGAGGCCCTCCAGGTAGGTCAGGAGACCCTGTCAGCAACACAACAAAAAAGAACCCCACAACCACTCGTTCCCCCTTGTTACTAAACGGTTCCCTTGGAAACCAACTGCAGCCGTTGCCAGCTGAGGTTTACAGATCTGAGGAGCCCCAGGCTGGATGTTTCCTTATTGGTATTGACAATCTGTCATATTTTCAAAAGTGGCCTCAAAACTGCACCACTGTAGATACGGAGGAGGATTTTCTTTTTTCTTTATCTCCGCCACCACCTCCCACTACCATTAACACCTCCCTCTGCCTTACCAAAGACATGTGTTATACACGGCTTGGCGCACTGGATTCAAATTCAAAATAGAAACAATTATTTATATGCAGACTAACAAAAACCTTCTTCATCTTGTAGAAAAAGAAAATTAAACAATCTTGGAAAGTCTTGCAGAACTCTTTCACTGTGCATGTTGGTGTCGACACTCATCATTTCCTGTGCTACCTGCTCTGGGCGCTGAGCTCCTGTCCCAGTGACACTGTCCGCCATTGACCCTAAAAGTCGGTTTCCCACATATCAGTTGTAAATATGCATAAAGCAGCTGGGATCCTGACCTCCGCAATAACATACAAAAGCCCAGCAGATGCTTTTCTTCGTCATGCTAATGCATTTTATTTACGTCATTTTAATTACACTCTAAGAGGTTCTGGTTTTTGTCCTTCTTGTAAGGATATGAAGTTTAATATCTAAACGGCCCCGGAAACGTGCCGTGTTTGTTCATCACAGAGACCTCTAGACTTTCTGCTCTCAAATAGCCCCTACACTCCACCGTTGTGTGCCAAAAGGGCATTAGGTATGCTTTGGTGCTTTTCTAGATTTCATTTTTTCATGTTCTGTGATACTTATATGTAACATCAGATTCATCTTAAATGTGATTTTAATTTATAAGCCTTCACTGTCCACAACATCAAAATTCATTCTTGTGCATTTCATTGGCCCTGTGACTATAAGGGATTGGATAGGTGGATGGATGGACTTCATTGATGATGTTCCTTTGGCAGGGTGGATCCTAAGATATCTACACCCCAGTCATTTATTTCATTGTTTTAAATCCTCGTTGGAGTCATTGAAATCCATCTCTACTGCCCCAGCTGACTGCAGAATTGATTAGGGCTCATTTATTTGTTCATCGAACACAGATCACAGATGGACACCTTTGGCATTGTTATAAATCCTTCGTGAAAGAATTAAGTTTCTTTAGCTTTATGCGACAATATTTTTTATCAATCCCATCTATCTTTATTTGCCCAGATGAGTCTCTGACGAGCATAACACAGGAAGAAATGCTCCTGTTTTGAGACCTTCCCTTAAGTTCCTGAGATTTTTCTCCATTAATACTTTGCTTTACAATACCGATGCCATTTATCGACCGGACTGAAAGGGATCACAAGCTAGAAGCTTCTCATACAACTTGTGCCTTTAGTCCTGGGATTTATTTGATGGCCTGGCGATGTGCATTGTTGTTTAAGGAGTGCTTTGTGTAGTGTTTTGTCTTGAGTTGGCTTTGTTAGCAGCCTGCAAAGAGCCTGAAAATGAACGCTAACCTGAAAAATAGATTGAAAACAGGGAGGCATTATTCCATCCATCCATCTCTCCAGTCTTGTTTGTTCTACATTCTGACATTAAGCCAAAAAGAAGAGTGTGTAACGTTCATGCTGCATTTACTTCCTTAAATGTCACTGTGAGTGATGTGTAACAATCCCTCAAACAATCTGTTACAGGCAACTCACTATCTAGAAATCTGTTACCACCCATTGAAATCTTTTACCACCCATTGAAATCTGTTACCACCCATTGCTCAGTCTCTTCCGTGCATCGCCAAGGTCAATGTATGATCCCATACCTTCTCTTTTAGGTCATAGTTCAGGAATGTTCATTATATTCACTCATACGCATAATCTGACCTGATTTGGGTGGGGTGGGTTCACTGGGATACTGGAGAATGAGATGTTACAGGCCAGATTCTGCTGCTGCTCTCCATTGGAATCTGTGGCACACTGTAGCCTGCACACACACCGGAAATTAACATCCCTGTAGCTATTTTAAAGTGATTTTCTGTGATTTGCCTGCACAAATGTCAGCTGCACCAGCCATTAGGGCATCAGTGTATTAAAAGGGATACTTTTGAAGAGTCAGAGAGCAGATATACAAAGACCTGGAAACTCCAATGGCTCTCTGGTGCTTTTCTTCAGCAGGAAGGTTAGAGGTCCCACATTCTACAAGGACTTGTGCAGATATGGCAAAATACAGGTTGATTTTTAAAGGTGGGGGGGGTCACAAAATCACGTGGGTGTTTCCTGCATCAGCCACTGCTGTCGATGGGCCAGTATAGACTGATCGCTCTTGATCGGAAATCAGAGAGATGGCCGGGGAGGGGAAAGGAACCACAGCTGTGCATGTCTGTTATTTAACATTTCGACCCAAGTAGTCCCACGGTTACTAAAAACAATCAAACCTCTGCGTGTTCAAACTCATCGTGAAAATAATTTATAAAGCAGTAGGTTATTTCTATACACTCCATATGAAGCAAAGGCGGGCTGCAATACTGCAATACTGCGATACTGCAATACTGCGTTGCCATTTCCTTGCTTTCATGACCCAGTGTGGTTTCAAACACAAATGCAACAGCACTGCGTGAAATTAAACTGCAGCTTAAGTATTTCTGCAAATATTAAAAAGAGCTTCTGTTTTCATGTTTGCTTTAGTTTTTGCTGCTAAATTAATTGCCGATGCTTGAATTTCTGCACGTATTTCTTTTTTCGTAGAAGAATTGTGTTTAGTGAATTTTTGAGTGGTGCCATTATTGAAATTAAGTAAACTTGCTCCAGGATTCATTGGACCTTTGCAAACACTTTCACGGCATATTAAGTGCACGACCAACCTACGAGGAGTCATCCATTATTCAAAGGCACTCAACATCTTCACCCAGATTTGCAAACAGGGGGAATGTTTGCCTGCTTCTCATATCCAATTATTTCAGCATGTTGCAGAAATGAAAAGGGCAGCTTTCAAGATGGAGTGATTTTTTTTTTGTCATTTTGTTAAAATATTTTACATTGTTTTCTTTGATTGTATTGAACATGTAATGTGACGAATTAAGTCCCTCAGATTATATTGTTTATTGAACGCTTAGACGTGCACCGAACAGGAAGTCTACAGGAGGTTTTTAAAAATACATTGATTAAGATATTGAAAGACAATGAAAAAGTACCTGTGGCAACGATCTCCCAGAATGCATCTCTGCTCATTTAAGCAGGTAGGTTATTGGTGTTTGCTTCTAGACCACGAAGCGGCTGTCGTGAGATTAATACTGCCCTCTTTGGTTAGTCTGTCCATTTTAACTCTATTTAATTGCTGTGACACTTTTATCCCAACTGACTTCAATATTTTACAGTTTTTCATGTTTGCCAGGTATGCTGCTAGATATTTTATTAAAGTAATTTCATTAAAGCCTTTGTTTCAGACCCGGGAGCAGAGCCAGAACCCTTCCGGAACCTGCAGCCTTCAGACTCCTGCATGCCATTCGTTAATTTTGCCCTCCCCCCCCTCCTTTCAGGCGGCCTGCATCCCAGTGTTGCTAAGCAACGGCTGGGAGCTGCCCTTCTCAGAAGTGATCGACTGGAGCAAAGCGGCCATCATCGGAGACGAAAGGCTTCTGCTGCAGGTATGGAGGGCGCCTGTCTCAGAGAAGCGGCCCGCGGCTGTAGGGATGGGAGGGGAAGGTCACATGACATGACTCTCCAGTGCCTGGCAGCACACAGTCTGAAGCCTTCAGACATGAAACACAATCTTAATCTTATCTGCGAGAGTGCAACCGCTGAGGCCAAAGTTGTGGAGCCTGCATTTTCTGGAAGTTTCCCACTTGTATTACAGATAAATAGGAATTAAATCTTTTTAGACCGTTAATGGCTCTTCATTATTCTGAGATTAAAAGCTTATAAGTGGTTTGGCTCACCTTGATATCCGTGCAGTGACTGAAGAAGATACAAAATAAACCGGTCATTTCTAAAAGCACTGTCAGATAAAGCACAGCGCAGACAGTATTTCGGGCAGAATCATGTGAAAATGTAAAATAGTGGTATTTTAGCAAAAGGAAAGCAGAGGCGTGACGCATGGGTGTTGAATTTTGGCCACGAGCTTCCTAGCATTAATTCTAAAACGACTAAGATGAAAAATGACACATTCAGCCTAACATGATGGTCCGTCAGATATGTCTAAATAAAATCCAACACCATGCAAATCATTACAGTGCAGAAAACAGCAGTAAGCATGTTCTGCTGATCCATTGGCAAATCTTTGCTTTCATAATCGATCTTGACAAGCCTCGCTTCTTTGGAAAAATGTCCTGGATCCCTTCTCTTACTACGGTAATCTCTTCTCTTACTACGGTAATCTAACATCTGTGGGTTGCCCTGTGGAATTCCAGAGTGTGCGCATACGTGTGCAACTGCATGTATGTGTGTTAGGCGCACGTCCGCAAAGATGTCTACATGTGCTTCTTCTGAACAGCCCCGCAAAACATTTTTATTTCGCCCATTTCATTACATCCTCAAAGCTCTCAGCTTCTCCGTAGGCTGGAGGCAGGGTATTTTTCGTAGCCGCAACTCTGACCTCAGAGGGAACCGTTTGCTGACAGGCAGGGAAAAGGCCACTGTGTCTTCTGACGGGCACTGAGAAGGACGCCCATATCGCATCATCTCTTGGCGCCCGTATATCAATATATGGCCTCATTCGTTACAGCCTGCAAGCTGTATGATATTTATATTCTTTAATTACCGAACCTAATAGCGGCAGCTGCCTATCTGCCCTTTTGTGGCTTCAAGGTAGCGAGTCATTAGCGTGGCAAAAAAGGGCGCTTGAAATAGGAGAGGCGAAATGTCACCGAAGGAATGAAAGTGAGAGAGAAAATTAAATGCGACAGGAAGGGGAGAGAGATAGGGGCAAATAATGAAGAAAACCCTGTAAGAGATTTTGTCCCCCATGCACACAGATGCACACACACACACACACACACACTCCACACTTTTAGAAATTACAGCAATTAATAATGACTCAGCTTACATCCACTAACCTCTGGACAAACCCAAAGTGCCATGGAAATTGCATTTCAGACTCTGCTAACAAATATACGTGCGGAACACTGTGATTTTGATTTGATATGTGTCCAACAGTCAAGTTTAACAAAGACTGGAATATTAAAAGCAACTAATGGATTTACTGCCGGTCTCCTAATTACTTGTGATTATACAGTGTTGAATGGGCGCTTTTTTAGGCTAGCGGTGCCTATTGTTTCTCCGTCCCTAGCAACAAAGTCACCCCCCCCCCGGAAAGTATTCCATCGCTAATTACACGTAGATATCGCAGTACGTCCGACCTGCTGGATCCGAGGCTCTCAGTGGAAGGAGCAAACTATTAATGACAGCATTTCCATGGAAGAGTGACAAGAATGTGTGCTCTTCTGCATTACCAGCACACAAATATAGGTGGAATAGAAAACAGTGTATTTTTGAATGTGAATATTTGTTTAAAAATACACTTCTGGATTGAAATATCAGCAGCATGGTGTATCGTCTGTGCATGCGTGTTTGGTGACATTTGTCTGATCTGTCTGCAAATATAAATATTTATAATTCACTTTTGAATTTTATGTTGGTCCACATTTTAGGATAAAAAAACGTTGAAAGTCACTATTCCATTGATCCCGGTGCCTCAGCTCAGAGTGGCAAATGCGGTCGCAATACGACCACTGCAGCTGAGAGTGCAGGTTACCCTCCATACATCATCGTTAAAAATGCAGATATCATCACGAAGCTGCTGTCACTGCAATACCTCGCATTATTTTTCATCTTTGTGCGGAATTAACGGGTTATTTAATTACAAGCTGAAATTACATCCTCTGTCGTGATTGGCGAATTAGCAGTGTTTATGTCCACGCGGATCTCTCTGTCCTGCCGCTGGGCGCCTGTCTGTGAGCCGAGGTGGGGGGTAGAGTCCAGGTTTAAGCTAGGATAATGCCCTAATTCTATATAGCAATTGAGTTTCTGCACCTGCTGAGAGAGGGGAATTTCATTACGTTCAATTATTCTGAGGAATGAACTTCAGCGACGAGCGAAACATGTGGAGAGGCTTATTTCCCTACTGGGGAGACACATAAACACTAATGGGAGGTGTAATTTAATTTTGGTTATTTATATCGTGCGTCTCTGTTTATTAAACCTTGTGGATGTGTGCCACAGCCCAGAAACCTTTCGGGATCGGGATCAGGATCCCTGCCACAGTTCATCCGAAGTGGTAAATTTATAGAACAGGATGAGTGTACTGTATATCCACTGTTTCCAAATTCATAATGGTTTTCTTTGCTTATCCTGATTCAACGCTCTTTTTCCTTAGTGTTTTATGTGTCTGCAGTTGTGAAGTTGGACGGGCAGAACCTGTCAGACTCTGAGGGTCTGTAAAAACTGGTTAATCTCCAGGTTTACCTTATAAGAGAGACACCGAAAGGTCAACGCTTATGTCTGCTAGACTGATTGAATTCTACAGTGCTCTTTTGAAGGACAGCCATTTTGGAAGATGACTGTGTCTTGGCTGAGATATAAACGCGCGCAAATGCAGCATCCCGAGCAGAATTGCGATGACGCATTTTTTTCGCCATCTCGCTCCTTTAATGTCACACGTTGAACATGCAGCGGAGAGGTGTGGAAGGTCGGCTTCATTGAGGTTGAGGCAGATTGTACCTGCCGGTTAAACAATCGGTGCTCTGCCAGCCGTGTTTAATTCCCTCCCTGTCTTTTTTTTCATAATTTATTCGCAGATTCCTTCAATTACAAGATCTGTGGACCATGACAAAATATTGGCCCTCAGGCAACAGACTCAATTCCTGTGGGATGCTTATTTTTCTTCAGTAGCAAAAATAGTATTAACTACATTAGAGGTAAGTGTTTCTCTTTATGGGGTTCTTGGTTTGAGCTCGAGCGGGTGTGGGGGGTGTCATTTCGGCCTGACACGGGATAACCATGGTAATTCATGCTCTCCCTCCCCCTCACTGTGTGCTGGAGTCCGAAGCAGAAGCCGATGGCTGCAGCAGATCAGCCAGGCCATTAATGCAGCCTGATTCTTTTTTCTTCCATTACCTGCTTATATTACCTCAGTCCAGGAGCAATGAAGCTCCTGTTTCTCTCGCCATGCACTGTTATCCCAAGCTTCTGACTTGGAGGAAATCTGAACCATATCCTGCGATCTCTGGCCCTTTTAAGTGCTTCTAGGCATGTGGGCAGTATTGCAGGTACCTCTTGTTGTCTTCACTTGACCCCGCTTTGAAAATAGGTCCACACTGGGGAGGCCTAAATAAAGACAGCAATTGTCAATTCGGTTCAAACAATAGCAACAGCGGACAGTCACATGACCTGATTGTAGCATATGAGAGTGATCGTTGACTCTTAAATGGGCTGTTCTGATTGGCCGGTGACGAGGAAGTGGGCGGTGCTAGGGAGAGGCCATGTCACCATGGTTCAGACCTTTTTCACAGCACGCCTTACTCGTTTGCCACCTCTTTCTCACTTTCCGAGTGGAAGATGATCTTTATCACGTTACATTTATTCATGAGACACTTTTGTCCAAAGTGACACACATGCGAAGTGAGGATCAGAGAGCAGCGGTCGAGCTGTGGCCATGGTGCGATTGGGGTTAAGTGTCAGTGGCAACATCACTTTACCAGCCATGGGAGTCGAGCCAGTGGCCTTCAGATTAGGGGCACAGCGTGCTACACACCACACCCTTTATGGCTTCTGAGAGAGCTGGAAAGTTCAGGTTCAGAAAGTACAAATCCAGACCAAGATTTTGTTTCAGCTTAGTTGAGCATAAACTGGTCGGTTGAAATTTGCACTTTCTGGACCTGGAATTTCCACCTCTGGCTTCTAATGAAGTAGAGGCTGTTAAGCACAGTGTCTATATAGAATTGCTGGATTATTTGTTCATTAATTATCCCTGTTTTTACACCCTTTCAAGGGATGAGGTTCTGTGACAGAAAGGGCCACAAATTCCGATTTGAATCAAAGCCTCGGATTATCCGATTGTGCCTGGAATCCTCTCCTACCCTCCCAGTTTGTTTTCCTTTTGTTACGTGACACATCAGCGGCTAATTTCCCCGCCCCACATCCTCGCGGAGCGTCGCAGGACGCCACATGAAAGGGAGCCAAAGAAGCAGAGTGAGCAGCGGGGCGGCCGGGGAGCATCAAAGCGGCCCGCGTCACGGGCGGATTAGAGCCGCGCGCGCCTGAGCCGTGTGGCTGTCACAGGCTCCACACGGGATCCTGCAGGGGGGGAACGTCAGGCACAGTCCTGTGGATGCACATCTAGTACCCACAGGAGAAACAAAGTGCTTCCTGCTCTCGGTTTGCTCTCACTCAGAAGATAACCCTGCTAAAATGGAAAGAACATACAAACTCCACATACACAGCGGCTTCAGACTCATAACCCTAATACCCACCCAGCCAGCACATCCCTACCCCAGATCACTGCCCCCCAGTGGTATGGAGGAGACTATGACTGACCTCCTATGTAGAGCACACTGTGTGATGAAAGGGCCATTCCAGATTGTCTTGGAACATGCTGCGATGGACTGTTTGTCATGTAAAAATCAACGCCTCGCGTTTGCTCATTCATAGTATTTCTCACCTTATTTAGCTTCTTGTGCATGTTTAGAGTTTTATGCGATTCTCGTGTTTTAATTTCTGAATAAAGTCCATGTTAGGCCAGTCACTTAAGAAAGTTCTTGAGCTCAAATAAATCAGGAATCTCCTGCTTCTCAGGAAGGAATTATTTTATATCAACAAGATATCGTCAACCAGATCTTACAGACGTGTTTCCCGTGGTGTTTCTCAATGTTTGCCGCCACTAATATTGTTCATTTCTTTATTTATGCATTTATTGTGTTTCCTACTAGATAATCCAGGATCGAGTGCACGCCCACATATCAAGAAACAAGTTAATGTGGAACGCACAGCCTGGGGGACTCTACATCTTGCCCCGTTTCTCTACGGATCCTGCAAACTTTCCCTTTTATTACGCTGCCCTGGGTGAGTTGAGAGATGTTACTCTTACCCCTAACTAAGCATTGACTGGATTTTAACACAGATGCGTGAAACATCACCGTTTGGCAAATGTTTACTGTGCTACAAAAAACGAACCATAGTGAAAACCTTCTAGAGTGCTTTATTTTTACGCACAACCCCTAAGACATTTCCAGCTGCCCCCAGTAGCTTTTAGTGGTGGGGATGTAACCATCTTTTTTTCCGACAAGCAATTCATCTTCGTGTACATTATCAAATGTAATCAGTCAAACATTATGCAAAATATTACATATGGCAATACATCATGGGTTGTCAGGGAGCCCTGTAGAGCATAAAAACCAGTGTAGTTGTTCCAATACCAGTAGATGTACTGTGGTGGTGAACATCACAATGAAGACAACGGTGGAAGAAGTAACAGCAGACGACATAAAAGTTTCATAGCAGCATGGCTATGAAAGTCATTCCGTACTCAGCTATTTTGGTTATGAGACATCGGCAGTGTCACTGAGCTATTTTTTTCCCTTTTCAAATATGTGCAAATGGGCGTTAGCGACTCTGAGAAAGGGCTCGTTCACTCTGGCCTTACCTCGCTCCGATTCCACGGAACCATCCGTCCCCAAAATTTCCCAGCATGACTTTCCGTACCGCCGCCCGATGAGGTGAACTAAATATAAATCAGTACCGTTCAAAAATTAGCACCTCCGATGACTGGCGGCGGTGCATGACCGGATACCAACCAGTGATGGATCTTCCCCAAAATTTTATTTGCAATTTATTGACTATGATTATAATATGATCTGACATGTATAAAACCCCTTGTACACTATCAACTAAACACACTCTTGAAATGCCAGTTTGATGAAGCAGTGACACTCAGTCTGCTAGAATTAGACAGCCTGTGTCGTATAATTAAGATGAATGTTGCGCCGGTGCACATGGAAACATTTCCATTGTAGTCACAGCTGTGTACTTAGTAGGATATTCTGTTTTGGGCCACATACAGGATTTGCGGCCAATTTGTTGTGCTGTGGAGGACGTATCTGCAAATTGCCAATCCGTATCCCCTCACAGCACCTACAGCAGGGGATAAAATGTGATAGGAAGCAACTTTGCTATAATTTCTGCTTCTTCTTGCTTACTAAAGTTACACCAAGAACAATCTCAGACTTTTCTTTCGAGGATAAAAACCAGGCCTGTCACGACCCCTCTTTTTCATTCTTTTTGCTCTTCTTTTCTTCTCCTCCGAGGGTCCTTGTTTTTCTGTTTTGTTTTTAATTGCAATAAATCATAAATCATTTGGTTTGTAGTCTGCACAAGAAATTCCTGGCCTCAATTTGAAATTAGACATTTCTAATGTTGTTAGCAGTTGCATGCGGGCTGTTTGAATTCTGTGCTTACATGCAGTGGTCATTAGATGCACCCAGCTAGGATGGGGAAGGACCCGCCTTTGGCTCCCTCCTGAATGGCTTCAAAGGTTAATGAGTTGTACGCTCGGAGGTGCCACCCTGCACACCTCTGTCATACCGAGCTGTTATTTTTGCACTTATGGCCTTCCTGTTAGCTTTAACAAGTCCGGCCATTCTTTCTCAGAGTTCTCTCGTTAGCAAGGTGTTTTGCTGCACATTCAGCCATCGACTGTATGTGTTTTGCTCTTCCCACCTTTCTTCGTACACTGCGGTGTGAGAAAATCCCTGGAATGTGGCTCCTTCTGCGAGAACCACCGTCCACGGCACCGACAGTCACACCTACTGAGGAAATCTCTTGGATCTGGCGTTTTTAGCGGACCCTGTACGGATTGCTGTATGCACTCAGTCGCAGTTGCAGGATCGTCTGTTTGGAGCGGTGATAGAAAGTAGGCGTACCTAATAAAATGACCACTTTGGGCCCGTTGGTGAAATTACTTGGCCAGAACTGGGATATGATCCAACAACCCTCCAATCACAGACACAGTATCCTTACCCTCTAAGCCATTCACTGCCACCCCAGTCATACACCGATATGCATCATAAAATCACACAAATATTATTAAAGATGGTTGTTATATTTCTTAAAGATCTGGGTGCACAATAATGTTCTCTGAAAAGCAAAAACACCGTAAAGTCTGAAGAGGATTACTACTTTGTAGAGTCTTATCTTCCCCAGAGGGGTTATGGACTAGAGCAGAGCGCTTTCTGTGATTCATGTCTGGCCAGTCAAATCAGTGCTGCTGTTTTCGGTTAAATTTTCTGCCATCGGTGCCTGCCGATGCATGATCTGTGTCACTTTTTCCATCGCTTGATAAGCAGAGCATTGATTTTTTTTCCTGTGATTTCGAAAGCGTGGAGACTTAACATGAAATGTACATGTTACCTCCCGGACGCGGGCAGTTTGGTTTGTTGGTGTCTCTAAATTGGCCGTAATGTATGGCTCTGTGTGTCAGATGGTCTGGATGCACCTCTGCATGCTGCCTGGGGTAGACTGCAGGCCCTCCGTGACCCTGAGCAGGATGAATGGTATAAACAGTTGGATGATATATATTGATCCATCTTCCAGCCGCTTGCTACTCTGAAACTGTAAGTTGCCACAGATAGAAAACATCAGCCAGGTGCAGAATGAGGGCTTGACGTGCTTAGCGGTGCTCAGGCCTCTGGAATCAGGCCGAGGGAAGCTCACTTGTGATTTCTGAGAGCTGTGAGGATCCTGTCTACTTTTGCTTGACAGCCGTTGCTTTTGACTCCTCACACGGTGTCGGCTCTGTGACACTGTTAGCTCTCTGCTCCCGTCTTCACATTTTTGCATTTGTGGAAAAAAAAACTCACCGTTGCCGAGCGAGAGTGAGCAACCTGTCATGATCAGGGCACCTCCAGCTCCACCAATGAGAATACAGATAAGTGCCATTATTTGGGCAGCTGAAGCTGATTGGACGTGTTCTTGAAGCTTATTTTCTTTAATAGACCTATATGCCAGTGCTATTAATGGTTATATATTGTAACCAGAACATTATTGGTGTAATTCCCAGTAAAATCCCCCCTGATGTACCAATTAGTCAGTTACCTAAATTCAAATAATACAGTAAAAAAAAAGAGTCAGATCTGTGAATACATCAATTTGTCAATCAAGTGTTTTTAAATATATTTGCAGGAATTTTATATGGTGGAGATGAGATTTAAAAAAAAAAAAACTTAATATATCAGAATTTGTATCAGTAATACTACATTCATCAACACGAGCAGAACGTGTTGAAATTCTAAGAATGCGAAGGTATTAAATGTAGTAGAATTATATTTCCATCTTATCTCGTGATCACGGTTCAGTAGCTTATCAGCTGACTTACTTAAATTGACTCCTTCGAAATCCTCTCTTATCCACGACGGATGGTAACAGCATCGAACAGGGAGGGTGCTGGCGCATTAAATATACATTTTAGACATTTTAGAGTGTGAAAACGCAATCCCCCACTTTTAGTCCAAGCCGCTTGTGTTATGTCATTATTATTATCCTACATCTCCCGTTTTAACTCATGCAGAAGTGTTTAAGATGGTTGTGGGATGAATGCTTGGCAACGTTATGGCACTAAACACTTCCAACTGCTCCGCGATGTGTCATTTCTGTTGCGCTTCGTGAAAATTTTTTATTTTTATTTTTTTTGTTTCATTGCAAGATGTCAGCCTAATGTCTTCATATTCAAATGTATGGTGCTTTTATAATCTTAATACGATTAATATGATCTATCCATCTATCTATTGAATGTTTATCCTGGACAGGGTCATGAAGACATTGTCTAAAAATAAAATGAAATGACGGAATGGTCCATTTTAATCCTCATCTGTGTGAATACAGCATTTCCCTGTCTCGTCACTTGCCCTCTTTGTATCGGCAGACATTGTATTCAAGCTGACTGCAAGGTTGTATCTTTCTTTCTGCTCGACCGTGGATCAGTTTAGGCTCCTCTGGGAACAGAATACGATCACGGAGGAAAATGAGAAATTCCGTTTGCCGCCACGGCAACCGGTTCTCTCCCTGTATGGGTGAAACCCTCCCAGGTTGTCAGATTAGCTGAATGTGGTTATCATGGTCGGCTGAAACACAGTGTTTTATTATATTACCGGACTGGTTGAGTTTTGCCCCCTTTCTGTCAATGCTAATGAGGTTCCTTCAGTGAGTACTTTCTGACGATACCAAGCGCAGACCTGCTTTTCTTACCCAAACCTTCTGAAGGAGTGAATTAGCCTTTCTGGACATTTGACCTCAAGATGGAACACTAGAGAAAAAGATGACCTTGACGTTTTACCGAATTTGCATTTAAAACAGAAAAAGATGTAAGCTGTAAAGGTGCACTTGGGGGGGGGAGGGGGGGTTTCTCCCAATAGAGAATGTCATTTATGTAAGCAGACACTTTGAACAGTAAGACAAAGATAATCACATGGCTACGATGTGCCCATCATGTGGTCTTAGGCAGAAAAGCAACGTGGATGCTGGGAAACTGGATCACCTTGTGGGTAGGGGGGCTTTAAACACACAGAGTTTGCCAATCATCCTGAAGTCTTTAATGCAGTGCTTCTGAGCCTGGTCCTTAGGGACTGTGATAAACATCCACCCTGCTGGGAGGGAGCAAAAATGTGGACTCTCTGCCAGGGAGCTGGGAGGGAGCAAAAATGTGGACTGTCTGGGAGGGAGCAAAAATGTGGACTGTCTGGCAGAGTGCTGGGAGGGAGCAAAAATGTGGACTGTCTGCCAGGGAGCTGGGAGGGAGCAAAAATGTGGACTGTCTGGCAGGGTGCTGGGAGGGAGCAAAAATGTGGACTGTCTGGCAGGGAGCTGGGAGCAAAAACGGGGACCTTCTGGGGGTCCCTGAGGACCGGATTGAGAAACACTGCTCTAATGGGAAGTGCTTTTAGTGAAGCAGCTCCTGAGTCAGCCCGCAGGGGATTGTGGGTGTCCCCGCAGTGATGGCATGCTACTTCCCTCCAGGTAAAAGCCCGTCTCTGGAGTTCACCGCCGTCATCCAGGCCGCGACCCCTCTGCAGTCACAGCTACAGCCCATCGTCAAGCTCATCCTTGCCGTGGCAAAGTCGAAGTTCTGTGCGCAGGTGAGAGCTCAGGAGGATCCAAGCAGATCTTCTCAGCCATACTGGGTCGCCGTGGCACATCAAGGGAAAAAAATCACTGTTATTTTGACCTTAAACTCATGAATTCCAAAGGAAGCACTGAGTCGTCATTAAATGTAAAAACCCGTGACTAAATGTTACTGATTCTGTGACTTTTTTCAATAGTCCTTGGTTCTTTCTGCCTCTTCCAGAACTTTTAATGTCCAGCAAACCTTTTCCTCAACTTCACTCCGCACCTGAGCACAACTGAATCTAAAGGGTGTTTTGAAAACATTATTATTATTATTATTATTATTATGGTAATTGCATGATTAATATTAATTCCACGTGATATGTCATTCTTTTTCATTCAACATAATAGGTCAGGTTCCTTATCACTAAAGAACATTGTCATCCTTGTCTGTTGACATTTGCACCTGAAACAAAATATACAGTGTTAGCTGTTTTACCTGGATTGAATAAATTTTGGTTCCCCCTGGAAAAGCCTTCTTCACCTTAATGAGATTACCTGGCAAAGTGAAGATGGTATATAGGGAAAATACAAATATATAATGATAAATAAATAATCCCAGTAGCTGCAGAGGAATTGAACCTTGAGGGAGTAATTATGTCCTATCTCTTTTGACCTTCTAAAGTCAGAACCATGTACCGTGGTACGTGAACTAAATTCCTGCTTTGTTAACTGGGGAACCAGCCGATAAAGAGGTGCTATAGTGTTCCACATGGCATTAAGGCAGTGGAATGGAGGGCAGAGCAGATTAGCCGTGTAACCCGGAAACTTAACAGAGCGTCGCCCTTTCCCTTAGATAATAGTGCTGTGGAACTGCGAGAAGCCGTTACCTCCGAAGAGCAAGTGGCCCACCTCATCAGTGCCTATCACAATCATCGAGGGAGAAAGGAAGGTGAGCGGGCTCGCACGTGGATCACTAGGATGGGGAAGAAGTGCTACCCTGTACCTTTCCCTCTGAGTCGTGACCCTGCCATGCGGTGCGAGTGGAGAGGGGCGGTCGCTTCACTGCAGGGATAAACACATCTTACCCACTGAAGGGCTGCAGGCGGCCCGTCCTCGATCGCGGTATTCCCGTCAGCATCACCTTGCGTACAAACGCCCTGGGAGACCCCGCTGCGCAGTCTGTTGGCTTGAGCTTTGCCCGAGACCGCGTTCTTGGGAAGGATCCAGATGTACCACGTCGCAGCGCGTGATATACATCAGCAACCCCTTCTATCAAGCCAAGCCAAGGTCCTAAAGCCTTATGCTTGCCATTTGGATGATTATACTGCTGTAATGAACTTTAGTAAAAGCTGAATCCAAATTGAAATGATAGCCACATACACTGAAATTGATCTGTATGACCATCTGTGGTGCTTAATCTCGTTTCCCATTCGGTTTCTAACCATTAACTTTTCTGTCATTTGTATTACATTTCGTCTTTCTCATGTTATTCGTAGAAATTGCTTGTCACCGAGATATAAGCCTCTTTACAAAACTCTGTCTCAGAATGCAGGAATTTCAGTCAAGGGAAAGGAGCTCTTTCAATGGCTTTTCCCAAACTTTCCCTGAGAAACGGATCCCTCATATTTCCACCTGGCCTCTCGGAACGACCCCAGCTGTATCCATCACACGAGCTCCCACGTAGCCTCAGATGTGCCCATAACCATTTACGCCAGGAATGTGACCATAAAACGCAATGGCAGATATTCTAATTGATTCCATTTGTTTCCCTTTAAACTCTGCGATGTATAACAATGTGTTCCCACAATCACAGTGAGCGTCTTTTACAAAAGGCGTCTCTAGGCCCGTAATTACTTGCTCGGGGTATTTCTAGGGTAATAAGACAGCTGCTCCAGTGTATCTCTATTCGGCAGTTTTCCAGAACAATAACAGCCTGCTGCGTTAGAGCTGAGGAGTCAATTGTTTGAATCGGAATTAATCAGAGTACTGTCTGAAACAGCACCGTTTGAATCGGGGGTGATAGTGCTCTGTTTTGTTTGCTTGTCCAGGAGTATGGTGCAGATGATGGTATTGTGTTTAAGCTTTCCGGGAAGTAAAGAATCTTGCAGATGTACAGTACTGTGTTAAAGTCTTAAGCAGCCAAAGAGAGTGTTCAAAGCTATTTACCTGGGTTGTAAGTGTATATTTGTTCAGACAGATTTTAAACATTAGAAGATTTGCAAATGAAGAGTAACACAATAAAAAACTAACAAGAATTTCTTCTGTTCTCTAAAAAGTTACTGATATCTTGTTGGACGGCTAGATCCACCGCTTCAGTTCCCAAACCTCTCCTCAGGGGCACCTCAGCCATTTAATGTATTTGTTAAATTTCATCACCGACTCCCTTAAATAAATAATTAGCTAAATAATTTTGTAAATTATTGATTAGAAAAAATGCACGGTGTGCTAGTGGTTGACTCAAATCCATGGATATATTGATTGGTTGCTGCAAATAGGCTAACGCACTTCAACAGACATAAAATCATAGTTTCACACTAACAAGAAGATCATTTAAACATTGTTTTCTTCGGCAGCCTTAGACTTTTGCACAGTGCTGTATGTCTTGTGTTGTTCTTACACGCAATGTTGGGCATTTCAGGTCCAGAAGCTACAAATCCACACCATGATTTTGATTCTACCGACCAGTTGAGTACTCTGTGACTGTGACTCTTCATGCTCAACTGGTTGGTAGAAACAAAAACTTGGTCAGGATTGGTGGCTTCTGGACCTGAAATGCCCAACACTGCTTGCGTGTTACATGACCTTAAACAAAAGGTTCTGCACAATGTATGGTTGTGATCTTTAGTTCTTTTTTTCCACTGTTATTTTTGCAGCATCAGTTGAAAGCAGGAACAACATCAGTTTAATTAGGGTGGTGCTGCTTTGACCGTTCTCTGAAAGAGAGAGAGAGAGAGAGAGGCCCAAAGCGTTCACCCTGACTAATACAGTTCCTGCTCTCATACAGTATCCTTTCTTCAATTTCCATGAAAAAAACAAAGGCAGCAGTGAAAACAATGATGGGCCCAGCTAGAGGTCATAAGCAATGTTCATTTAAAATCCTGCCTCCGATATCGATCCCTCCCATGTTGTGTACATCCTCGGGCCTTAAGCACATCTAGAAGTCTCAAGTCAGTTGCGTTTCCATCAGAAGGCTAATTAATTTGACCCTTTCCTGGTCTAGACACCAAACTATCATCACACCTTTTACCAAGTCTGCCCTAGACTGCCGGTACCTGTCAAGCTAGCAAAAACTCAAAATGCCAATAATGACCGGCTATGATTCCTCCGCTCCAAGGTTGTTTAACGTCAGGCTCTCTAAGGAGGCCAGCCTTAAGGAGGCTTCTTATGGGGAAAAAAGATTAGATTCATGTTTTACACTAGTGGCCAAAATTGTGGAAACACTTCCAATGTTTAGAGATTTCAGAACTTTATTCAGCTGTTGCCCCAGTTACTTATTTTATTGTTCATGATATTTGTAAACATTTGATTGTTGATAAACATTACCGCCAATGTTCGTGTAGTAATATTTAAAGTGTAATGCCAAAAATGCTAGGCGTTTCCACTATTTTGGCCACTAGTGTATGTAATATTGCTAATGTGGTTTATGAGAACAAAAGATAGAGCAGCAGCCCTTCTGGACTTGTCACCGTGTTGATACCGTGACTTTCTCCTACCTTAAATCAATTTAGTTTTGTTTCTGAGAGATTTTCACAGCACTCAGAATGACGTGAGAAAGGAAGCATGTAATTGTTACGTTTTGCACTGCACTGTAATCCCGGATTAGTTGAGTTTACTAGAAATTCACATGTAAACCCGTTCCCCTTAAATCACTTTAGTTTTTACACATTCTGAAACTAAACAGATTAAGTTGTATTGACATGGACAATCATTAGTCTTTACTAAAAATGATTAGTTCACTTAACTAATTTTCTTTGCATCCCCAAGTGCACAATGTTGAAAAGTATTACAAACAGCTTATTCTGGTTTAGTAATTAGACACTGTTTTTACAAAACACGAAAAAATAATTAATCATTACTAAATAGTGTATGTTGAAGCACAATCCGGGTTTACCGTGTGTGTACTCTGGGGCCAGTGTGCAGGACAAGGCATCAAATCAGTAGGAACAAAAGTTTTCAAAATAGTTATATTTGTTTCAAAATGAAAGATATTTTGAAAGTTAAAATTCCAAGCAGGATAGAGAGATTGTGCTGAGTTTATGAGTAAAAGCTTCTTTCACCTCCAAGGGTAATTTCCTTATAATTCTCTTGGATCAAAGCATCAGTTTCGTGACTACATATAAACGTGTGTCTGTGTGATGGGGTACCTGAGATCCCCGGGATTTTACTGCACAGACCTGGTCAGCTAAGCCCACCTCCCTCATGGGTCTTTAAAGCTAGACTGGGACACATTTTGCTCTGGGTTTCCACGGGGTCAGTCTTTAATCCTCACTCTCGTATTTACTGTAAAATTCAGTGCACAGTTTATTTTTCTCATGGGATTTTAGCCAAGCACCATGAGTTAATGCCTCTCCAGGGTCCACCCCAGAATGGACAGAGCGGTAGTGATGGCAGAACTTAATGTTTCCAGCAGCTTTTTGCGGAGGTGAGATGTATCCACCTGTATCTGCAAAGCTCTGCGTGAGTGGACGTCTCGGGGTCCAGTGTTTTCAGCACTATGACAAAGGCTAAGACTGGATTTTTTTTTTGTGGTATTTATTTTAATTTAGTTCATGTGAAGAGCAGTGAGAACCACAGAATTCTTGATGAATCCATCCGATTGTCTGCTTTCTTGAATTATATAATCATCAATGTGTTAAGGACATTCTACTGTCCAAAAGAACTGGCTCTCTCAGTCACACAACATTTTTGTTTTTACTTTGTTTTGGTGAAATAAAACAAAGATTACACATTTTCCATGTTTATGATTAACAATGTCATCTATTTCTTTTGATACGTTCTTATGAATTTCCTCATTCACTGAGTTCATTTACAAGCCCATATGTGTAATTTGTACTTGTATGTAAATTGTGAATAGAAGTGATTGAAGAACCATTATAAGATGATTTACTAAGTTCCTGTAGAACATACTCTATTGACTTCTTGGTGTAGGAGCACTGAAATACCCATAGATTGACACGGAGGTCAAGCCGTAATCAATAGGTCATTTTCACTCTGAAACTCCCCCCCCCCACCCCCAACTCTGCAACACCTTCAATAGTTATACAAAGGCTCCTTGGTAAACGATGGCAGGAAAGATAATTAAAACATATTAAAAATATGGCCTAGGAAAGTTATATACACTTTCTAATTTGGTGTGCAATGGAAAGTTTTATTAAAACTTTTTTTATTTTAAAAAATGTTCATTATTTATATTCAGAACACTATATTTTTCCTCTGAACTGTTTTAATTGCTGTACTCTTTATAAATTGTATTTAGTTATTCTTGTTTTGTGATGCTTTTTTTCCCAAATAGACATACATCACTTGATTTTCTCTTCATTATTGAATCATTTTCAATAAATACCCCAAAACTTTAAAAATAGCAGACATGAAACACTAGATAGCGTAGAAAGCGTCATTTACACGATGGATCCCCACTCTAAAAATCCTTATAAGTTTTACACTGATTGCAAGTGATATAGGATTTCGTACATTAACCAACCAACCTCATGATGGCACTACACTTGCTTGAATAATGTAACGTGGACTACTAATTATTTTAATCCAGTTTCAACGACTATTAAACCTACATGGAATTTAAGAGTTGGAATCCATCAAGTAAATTATGTTAAGTATGTACATCTAGTGTTTGATGTTCACTTTAATATCTTGATGGGATCCTCAAGCCAAGTTTGACGGGGACCTCAATCCAACCCCCCTGATTAGCCGAAGTTATCAACTTTTTCTTAC